TTCCAGAACTGAGAATAATGCGATAAAAGAACTCAAGGCCATCTTTAAAAGTGAGTTCCAAGACTTTTTTGAAAAGTAACAACATAGCTGTAACCGTGTCGTTTAATTAAGTAGGGATGATTTTAAAGGATGCCACCCATCGGGTAATGGAGAATAACGCTAGCGTTGAGTTGTAGAGGTAGGCCCGATACTCTTCGGACAGACCTTGTAGTCGCTTTGTCGGTGATTAAGGTGCAGTGGCGTACATAAATCTGAATTTTGAGTGTTACAATCTTAATTCTTTGATGCATTTATAAAAGCCCGTAACGTTTGTTTTTTAAAGAACTCGTAAAGCGTAAAAATCTAGTAAATTTTTGTAAAATTTTTAAGTATCCATCGTCTTCAAAGGTGTCCGATTAATAAACAGCTGTTACATATACAGTATAAATGCAATTATAAAATTTAACTCTTATTAAGTTCACACAATTTAGATTTTTCAATGAATTTATGAGAGCATCCAACGCTTCTTTTATTGGTACGGGCCTGTAATACCGTCTTGTAACGATACGAATCGCATTAAATTTTTTTGTAATGTTAGACTGTTGCCTTGGATAGTAGATGTTGGGCAGATAAATCAACTTTACTCGCCCTTGGGTCTTTTTTTGTCTAAAGTCAGTTTATTCGATTTGGTTAAAGTATAATATCAAGTGAAAGAACACTGTGTAGACAAGACAAGACGTAGGAGAGGAAAAAACGATGATGCCGAGTTGACTCTTCAAAGATGACTGAATCCAGACGCGCCCACCGCTTGGAAGGCGCCACACACCCTGCTCCCGCTAGAGACCTCTCCAAACGCAGGACGGGCGATTGGTTGGTGAGACCAGGCAATTCAAATACCAGCCAAAACAGTGGTCCGGACGAGGGTCAAACATCCTGCCCACCTCGTTCCTGGAACAAAACAGTTGTCTCGCCCACCGTATGCGTGTCATCTGGAGCACTGTGGACGGGTGATGAAGGACGCTCGTGGTCTCGACCAGCAGGAGTGCGAGCTTAGTGACTGGCCGGAGGTACTCGCCAGTGGAGGTTCTGATGACGGCGGCTCGAACTAGCCCGTCTTGGCCCGGTTGCACACGGAGGATTCGTCCAAGAGGCCAGCGTCCAACCACGGAAAGGAGGGTAGGATCGAGGACAGCAACGACGTCTCCAACGGCGAAATTTTGGTGTGGCGTGGCCCACTTAGGGCGCTGCTAGAGGGTGTTAAGGTATTCCCGGCTCCAACGCGTCCAAAACTGAGCTCGAAAGCTGCGCACAAGCTTCCAATGGGCAAGCCTGTCGGGGCACTGCTCTGCAGGAGGGGCCTCGATGATAGAGTTGAGAGGGGCTCTGGAAATGAAATGGCCGGGCGTAAGCACTTCAAGGTCATCGGCTTCTCCAGAGAGTGGGATCAAGGGTCGACTATTGAGCACCATTTCGATGCTAACTAACACTGTTGAGAGCTCCTCGTAAGTGAGGTGTTGGCTGCCAATGACACGTCGGAGGTGTCCCTTGACGGACTTAACGCCGGCCTCCCAGAAATTGCCAAAGTGAGGAGCTCCAGGCGGAATGAAGTACCAATTGATACCTTGGTTAGCTAGGGTCCCAGCGATGAGCTCGCCCTCCAGTTCGACCTGCTGCAGTACTTCCCGGAGTTCGTAGTCAGCTCAACAAAAACAGGTAGTGTTGTCACTCCATAGCTCGGACGGACGGCCTCGGCGGCCAGAGAAGCGCGTGAGAGTAGCCAAGAACGAAGCAGCAGAGAGATCTCCAACCAGCTCGAGGTGCACGGCCTTCATGGTGAAGCACACAAAGAGGGCTATGTACCCCTTTGAGGTGTGGATCCCTCGTCCTTTGGTGGCGAGTATGTCAAAGGGGCCTGCATAGTCAACCCCAGTACGACCGAAGGCGCGAAAGGGTGTGACCCTGGGCCGAGGAAGGGGGGCCATCTGTTGAGACGCAGGCCGTGCTTGCAAGCGAGCGCAAAGGAGACAATGCCACAAAAAAGTCTTGATTCGACGGGTACCGCCAATAATCCAGGCGCGTCTTGCAACGTAAGCGATGGTAACCCTGAAACCTCCATGCAACGTGCAAGAATGCACCCAGGACAAGACGAGGCAAAATAGGTTACAGGAGCCATGGATGATCAAAGGATGCTGCTCATCGTAGGTCAGCACAGAGTGCTGAATCCACCCACCAACTTAGGGTACTCCATCAGTGGTGATAAACGCAGCAACGGAAGTTAGCGGATGATTCTTCGGTAGGGGACGCCCGAGTCGAAGGAGCGAAAGCTCTCTCGTAAAGGCGCGCTCTTAAATTAGACGAAAACGGGCCAGGAACGCATCTCTCAGATCGATCACGGTCAAGAAGGGCGTCACTGGCCGGTCACGTGTCCGACCGAGGTGAGCACTAACCCATCGGCACAAACGGGCAAGAACCCAGAGCAACGTGTCAAGGTCGGAGAATCGATCGAGCAGATGGGCTTCGGGCCGCTGGACGACGCAGCAGGTTACTGGCGTCGATGGCTGTGTAACAAAATCCTCGTGCAGCCAACACTCCGGGCCATTCGACAGCCAGGCTGGACCATGCCACCACGAGCTCTGTAGATGAAGTTGGCCGGCATCAGCGCCACGGGACGCGACATCAGCTGGATTTCATGAGGTTGGCACATAGCGCCAGATGTTAGACGGTAGTAGCTCCTGGATGTGGGCAACATATTTGTCGACCAAGGCATTCCCTGTGGGCTCCACGGAACGAAGCCAGCGCAGGACAATTTGGAAGTCAGTCCACGCACGGCAGTTTTCGATAGGGACATTGAGCTCCGTTGATGTCAATTGAAGCAGCTTGGCTGCGAGTAGTGTGGCTCAGAGCTCAAGACGAGGTATCGTCATCCGAGGCTGGGGCGAAGAAGCTGGCTTTAGAGTTCGGATTGGAACGAGCTTGGTCTTAGCCTAAAGAATGTGGCAGCGCACTAAGCCTGTAGAGTCGGTTAGTCCACAAAAAGTTACAGCTGCCATGGCGCGGTGGCTTGCATCGGAGAAGGCGTGGAGCTGCAGATCCAAATCGGGCGACCATCCAATCCAGCGTGGGATAGCAAACCCATGGATCGCCTGAAGCTCGAAGGCGAAAGCTGACCACTGGGGAGCCATTAACGGTGGCAGGACCTCATCCTAGTCGAGTCCAGCGCGCCATAAATCCTGGAGCAGAAACGTGGCGTTCAGGATGGTAGGGGCCAGCCAGCCACACGGATCAAAAAGCCGTGCCAGAGTGGCGAGACTTGTCCGCTTCATGTCTTGAGCCTGAACTCGGTGAGGAGTAAGACGGAAATGGTCTGAGGCTGAATCCCAGCTAACACCGAGTTTACTCACAAAACCATCAGTGGCTAGTTCTTGCCAAGTGGAGCGAGGGCGCTCTTCTTCTGGGAGGTCGTCTAAGAGCTCAGGTACGTTTGCTACCCATTTTCTCAACGGAAACCCTCCAGCTTGCAACAGGCAGATAAGCTGGTTTCAGAGTTCGCGTGCGGCATCGAGGTTCTCAACGCCGGATAGGATGTCATCTGCATAGCGACCACGCATGGCAGCAGTTGCAGCTCCAGGCCACCTGTGGCCTTCATCCTCACACAATTTCTGGATGACGCGCAGTGACAAGTAAGGCGAACAAGAAACGCCGTAAGTGACTGTGAGTAGCTGATTGTGTGTAGGCGGAATGCTTGGGTCAGGGCTCCACACGATGCATTGCAGGTCAACGTCCTGAGGGTTAACTTGAATTTGGCGAAACATCATCCGGGCGTTGGTGCAGAACGCGAAGCGATGTCGACGTAAGCGTAGAGGGACGGTTGGCAAGGCTGCCTGGAGCCTCGGCCCACTGTGCAGGACATCGTTGAGACTGTAGCCACTCGAGGTCACGTGCGAGGCATTAAAGACGACGCGCAGCCTTTATCCTCGATCCCTGCGCTGCCAGATGCCATGGTGCGGGATTTAGTACACGGGACGAGTCGGCGCGGAGACCAGAGCATCGGACAATGGCCTTATATGGCCCACCGCGATGTACTCGTCCATTAATCGAGAGTACTCGATGGCCATATCTGGGTTCCGATGAAGGCGAGCTTGCAGGGACCTCAAGGATGCTCGGGCACTCTGTAGACTGTCGCCGAGGAGATGGAGGGCGTCCTGTTTCGAGGGAAGCCTCACTATGTAGCGACCATCCTCGTCACGCCGATGGTCAGAGAAAGTCCGCTCACATTCAATGTCAGCGGGCGCCTGACGGTGTGCCTGTGGGAGGTCCTTGAGCTTCTAAAAGCGTTGCAGTAGGGAGACAAGTTCCTGATGCCAGACTGGGGTAGCTTCGTCTCGTAGGGTTCAGCAGGAGAGGACGGAGCTTGATGAGCGTCCGGGTGCCCAGCCCGTGAGAGCCCAGCCCATGACTGTGCGCTGACCAAAGATCTCACCATGCTGCATGGACTTGGGTTTGAGCAGACGAGGATAGACGTCAGCGCTGAGGAGAAGTTCAGCCTTGCTTGGCTGATCGAAGGTGGGATCTGCGAGGTCAATGGATTCCCAATGCTGCCGGACTGATGGATCCAAAGACATTGCAGGGATGTAGAGCCCGAGGCGTTTTAGACACAGGGCTGACAGCGTGATCAAAGTAGTGTTGTCTCGTGGCACGAGGTTGAGCTGCACTCTCGCCGTTGACTGGACAATAGGATGGCCCCCGAGTCCGGAGAGGCTGATGGTAGACGCCTCCATTGGCGCCTCAAGTTGGCGGGACACTCGCGCTGACACAACGGTGACCTCAGAACACGGATCAAGAAGCGCTTTGACAATTACTGTGCACCCGGTGTGGCCACTGAGCTGAACAAGGGCAGTTGGGAGCACCATTAGTCATTGTTGGGGCTTTAGGTTGCCATCGCTGGCTTTGGAGCGAGCCTTGTCCTCGCGTTTGGCGTGCTTCGCTAGGGTAGTATCGTTATGGCGCTCCGCTTGACGCTTCTACCCGTCATGCAGTAGGCTGTGGTGGGTGGCGCGGCAGTGTTGGCAGACGGACTTGGACGGACAATCTTTGACGGAATGCCCCCGCTTCAAGCAATTAGAATAGAGCCTTTCACGGAACACGACGTTCTTCTTGGCCGTCGCGTTTAAGCCCTGGAACTCGCTGCAGTGGCCTAGATAGTGAGCACCAGGACAGGTAAGGCAGGTAAGCGAGCTTTCTTGAGTTGCAAGGGTGCGAAAGCTCCGGGTGGCTAAAGAGGGTGCCATAGTACGTGAGCTGGAGGGCACAAGAGCACGTGTTACGCGAGAAGCATCAACAGAGCGGAGAGCTCGACACTCGTGACGAAGGAAAGACGCCAAGACAGAAAACGTGGCTATGTTAACTTCTAGCTCCGGGCTGAATGCCTCAAGCTTCTCCAACTCATCCTTCCAGGCCCGTCTAGTCGATGAATCCAAGCTCGTGGCAGCGAGTGAGACGAACCAATCGTCCCAGTGGTCCACAGGGCGACCTAGAGCGCGGAGTTGGTCTCGATGGCGCTCGAGGGTGTCCAGCAGTGTCTGTAAACCTTCAGCGGACTCTTCCCGCATGGGTTTGATGCTGCGCAACGCCAAGAGATGATCCTTAAAATATGCTAGTTTTTGCCTTTGGCCAGCGGGAACCACCACACGTGTACTAGACAGTATTATACTACAAACAGCACACAAAATATATGTTCTACAAAAAAAAAAGATTTTAATGTTTTTAACACGCTTTTATTAGCTTTACCTGAAACTAACTATGTATTTAAGGAAATCTTGGGATCTTAATTTGACCTACTTCCAGGTCTTCAATTAGGATAAAATTTTGCACCGCTTTAAGCTCTGATGACAATACATGACTACCTAAGAAATGTTATTACTAATCCAATATGGCAGCCTTCCCGAGATGGCGGACTGTCTGTTTGAAATCCACCCCCATGATATTGGTATCAAATGAAAGGGTTTGCTGTCAAGTATACGAAAAAAATAGTCACGTGACTTAAATCCAATATGGTGGAGGTCTAAGATGGTGGACAGGCTATTTAAAATACAAATGATATGGGTATCAAATTAACGAGTTTGCTGTCAGGAATACGATGAAATAGTCACGTGACTTAAATACATAATGGCAGACATTTAAGATGGTGGATTGGCTATTTAAAATACACCCCCACGATACGGGTATTAAATAAAAGGGTTTGCTCAATGGGATACAAAAAAAATAATCACGTGGTCTTAACATAACATGGTGGCCGTCCCAACGTAATGGATTGGCTATTTAAAATGCAGCCCTATGATTTAGGGGTGAAATGAAAGGGTTCGCTGGAAATAATGTGAAATAACATTTTCTTACCAAATTATCATGTCATAGGTATCAATCGATAAGGTTTGACGAGAGAAATATGAAGATTGGACTTTGATTCTATGAGATTTCACCAAAGCCAAGGTAGAATAGGCGCCAAGGGCTGGATGGTACGAGGGTGGTAAAAAGTATTATGTCGCTAGCGTCACCTTAGGGCACCAGGCGCAACCCTATTGTAATAAGCCTTGCTCCCCTACATGGAGCTTTGGGGGCGTCGACCATCTACAAGACTGAAAAGTATAAAATAAAAATAAAAGTTAAAAAAACTAAAAAACACGCTCTTATCACGCACTTAAAGTTTCAAAATAATTCGGATATTTAGTTTGATGACTCAAGAGTTTTTATTTGCCAAATCTTCATTGAATTGCAAGTAAACATTAACACTTTTAGTTCGTGATAAACAATAATTAATTACTTGTACGAAAAAGTTATTAGCAGGTAGTCATCTTTATTGAATATTTACTATGATTAATTATAAAAAAAAGCGTGGAGTGCTTTGTCTAAAAAGAGTAATAATTACATAAACGCTTCACGCTTTCATTTCATAATAAATCATAGCAAATATTTAATTAGGACGATTACCTACTTAAAACCATTTCACATAGGTAATTATTTAAAGTTTATCACGAACTAAAATTGATTATGTTCACTTGCGATCTAATTAAGATTTGGGAAAGGGAAAACATTTGAGTCATCCAACTAAATTTCCAAATTATTTTGTTATTTTTAGTGCGTGCTAAGAGCATGTTTTTCAGTTTTTTCATTTATTCTTATTTCAGAACTACTTAAGGCTACACATTTATTAGAAAGAATACTACTTATTGCTAGTGTATACAGGTTTTCAAAATTTATTTAAAAATATCAACTCAACACATTAAATTATCTTAGTTTTGTGAACATATGATTTCAATAGAATATCATAACTTCCTAGAAAAATTCCATTTTTCAAAAATTTATTTAAAAAACAATATTAAATTAGATATTGCTCATATCAGAATGTACTGTATAGAAACAAAGTCTGTACAACATAGCTACGGTGTTCTACAACGAACCCACTGAATTTCTACCTAAAGTATTTCATATAAAGATGTTTTAAATAACTAAATATACGAGAGGTTGATTTTTATTATTAGGTAATAAGTTCAACAAACGGAATAAATTTTCTTTAAAATTACTATTAAAGAATTTTTATCTATAAAGTTTTTTTTTCCCTTATTGGCTTTATTTTATAATTCTGAGCACTTTTTTTATTATTTAACTACGTAACTTGAATAATACTTTTCAACAAATGTTTGTAATAAAATGTTTCGTAATTAAACTCATTAAAAATCCTAAATGTGTCATTTATTTAACTAGCCTCAATAATTATGTCTTTTTAATGTCTTCATGAAATCAAAATATTGCAAACTACAGTTGTTAAAAAAATAAGAAATCTCCACAGTTGTGAGGTCACAAGTAAATTTCAATCTTATTTAAAATATTTAAATATACCATTAAACCGAAGCTATCGTGAATTTAAATATTCGCACCATGAAGAAATGTTAAAGGGCCTAAATAAATTAACGTACGACGTGGAAATATACCTTATACTAGAGCAAGCAACTGTTATATTCGAGCCACCCAATCAAAGCCGCCGCTTCTTAGGAGGGTATAAAAGGCCCATGCCAGCCCATGTTTATGACTTTTGCCACCAGCAACTAGTCCAGCGCTTTGATTAGGAAGTTCAGCTCTTCAAAGCACTGTTGTAATTTTATATGTCGCAATAAAGAGCGAAATAATACTTATATATTTGATTACTATCTTTCATAATACCTATCATATTTATATACAACTCTGGCTAAACGAATGACAAAGAGATTAATGCAGTCTCCTAGTCTTCCCCACCTACCAGATACACCTATCTTGTGTTCCTGGGATAAATAGTGAATCTTCGGGGCATTTTAAACGGACGCTATTCTCTAGATAAGAAAGCTGAAGGACCAGAGGATCTCCAGGGCAGTACGAACTGGAGCAATCCTGGGGCATCGACGACTTACCACGGCCAATAGGAGCACAAGAGAGTTAATTAATATATATTTATTAATATACCTCGGGACGTTGTGTATCACGAGTTAGGGGCATTGAGAATCAGAATACTTTCCTACACACTCCCACTGAAGTCTCTCGTCATACGGGTTGGGGGCAATATAAACTCAACTTCGTGCCTACGAGTGCCTCATTATCTCTTATTCCTCTTAAACGTGAATCCATAAATACTAACTATACATGAATATATGATGTCACGTAAAAGAATTCTGTTGTAATCATATACCTTACTATATAAAAAATATATCTATACATAATCACGACCCTTACACAGTAAACAATTATTTTTTATTAAAATAACTTGTACGAAAACCATAACAACGACGTATATGTTACTTATACGTTTTTTTTTATTTTATAAAATGATTTCCTATTTAACTATCCGTTAAAACGTTGACTCATACTATATGACGTAAACAACATAGCTTGCTGAGTTAAATGACGCTTAAGCTTACAGCTCGTTTTTTAGGAGGCTCTTAGTTAGATAAATTTGATTTTCCTGCCTAATCAACCAAGTGTTAACACTGCTTTATTTATGTAACATGATGAATTTTAAGTATCTGTTTTATTAAACAATAAGTAAACCAGTTAATTTCTTGATTGCATCTTTGACTTATGACACGAGGTTAAAAAAATTAGAAAAAAAATCATGTTTTAATTCTCTATCATCATATTTTTTTCTTTGAGCTCCAAACTATGCCACCAAATGTAGGCTTAAATAATAATGAGAAACGGTTGAATTAGGCGTATACAATAGTTTTTTTAAATTCAATTTAGTTAATTAACTAGATATTAAGTAAGATTTAGTTGTTAAAGTTAAAAAGTTCTCATTTCCTTTAAACTATCTATTATTTATTAAATACCATTCATATTTATCATGAAAGTCTAACTCTTTTCACAGTTATTTTGTCTACGAAGACCGTAAAATAGTACGAGTAATAACTTAGCACTTACAATAAGAAACTATATAATTTATTGCTGGTAAATAACTTATTTATTACACATTTTAATTAAAAACTGGAATTAAGGTAGTCACGTTTAAAAAGCATTTAATTCAGGGTATGAGTAACAGGATGATAGTGTATTCGAAAAATATAGTTTTTCATGCATATTTAAAACTTGCCACCAAGTAAGTATCCTACCTTAGCAACGCTACGTCTTGTCTGTCTTTGTTTAATGGCTACAGGTACAGATTTAGAGATGTTTCGTGTAGTGAGTTTGTCTCCATGCTCTAGGATGTCAAAGGTAAGAAGCAGAATGACACAGAGATAAGACAGCTGGTACCGACTTAGGCTTGATTGAGTACAATTCTATTAAACATCGAAAGACAGAATAACTTTGGGATTCTCGTGGACGTAGTGGACAAGTGCGTGCCGTTGTTAACGCTGGTCAAGTCGTGAGTAAGTTGCTGTAAGCAGCGTTCACTACATAAGGATGGGCGCTGCTAAGAGAGTGGCTTAAGTAAAGCGGTGAGCATCTGCTATGTGTGCGGTTCTACGTACAGTACTTGCGGGACAAGCTGCTACTTTCAGTGCAAAGCCAGATTTTTTTTTTTGGCCAGTGGGTGCCACCACACATATATACGTATGCGACTTTGATTCGCTATGTTATTTTAATAATTTATATTAATAATGATTTATTAGATGATTTTAGTGTGAATCAGTCTCCCACCCACCTCCTTTTTTGAGGTATCGTTGCCCTTAAGCGTTATCTGAAAATGTGCATGCCAAGGAAGAAGGTATTACAATAATTATCTACTGATATGATATCTTAGTTATCGTGTCATATAAACACACCACAGAGCTACCTGGTAGAGATTGACGAAATGAAGTCTTAAACTTAAGCCTTCAAGACGGGAATTAAGTGCTCTAATATCTTAGCCACAAAGACCTTCCAACGCTGCTTGCTATCTTCTATTGAATAAGGAAATATCTGTAACCAATGTCTCACTGTTGGCAGCTCTGCTCAGTTTGAAGAATACACTAGAAAGAAAAAATCTGGCTTGCTGTTAACCTTACGATGATACCATTACTCAAACACTGAGCAATCAAAAATTTTTTTTTAGCATTTTTAGCATACACACGCCTTGTTTTCGTTAATCTTATGACTTTTTAGCCTAGAT